GAAAGGAAATTATCTTTGGATGAACCTTGTGCATTTTCAATGTTTCAATGATCCACGAACTTAGGACTCTGTCATATGCTTTTTGGTAGTTTATCCACACCACCTCTACGTATTTCTTTCTTTGTTTTGTCACCTCCGGTGGTCTTCCTATTCAGCCTGAGATGGTCTTTTGTCCCTTTGATGTTTATTGTGCAGCTTTTATGCTCAGGAGGCAGCATTCCATTGCAAGGTAGCACTCTCCAGCTCTTCTTTCACCAGAATTTACCATTAGAAGTTTCCACATACTTGGTAAACACATGATCAAGTCTATAATTCCTTGGATCACTATGCAGTGTTCTTTCTTTCTTTGGTGTGTGGATGGTTCTCCTTGTCACCATCCACCTTGGACATCCATTCTTCAAATACTGATTAAGTTGTTCAAGTAAACAATCATTGAGAGTTGTTAGATATTTCTGGTCTAGGTGCTTTCCAAATTTTCATTCCTCTCAGTACCTGATCTATTTCTTTCTTTGATATTCTTGTGTATTCCTCTATTTTTTTTAATTTTTTCTCTCAAATTTTTCATCCAGTCTACTGTCTGACTATGTTGACCATTCTCAGACCAGATTTCCATCCAGTAGTGCTGAAACTCTTCCACATTATTTATTGGCTCTCTATTTTTTCCTATTCTGTTTTTAACATCAATCTGATCAAATAATCTCTTAGGGTCTCTCCTGACAAATCTGTTCTCTTGATAGTGACAGCTTTATGTTGAATATCTTTTCAAGCCTATGACTCAGTGAGATCAGCTTTATTTACATTGTTCCTTCACAATTCTCACATCTGTTTCATTCATGTGATATTTTGTCTTGGAGGGCCTGTTCACTTTCGGTTTTCTCTTCAAATGATTTTTCTCAAACTCATCCTGTAGGTTGATATCTTGATGTCAAAACTTAATCTTCTGGTTTAACCTTCGTTTCCACTGAGGTTCTGTACCAGAGGGAGTATTCCAGTGGTTCTCATCCTCATGTAAATATGGTCAAGGGACTCAACCCTTTATGGGGTTATATAAATTAGGGTGTGTTCAGGGTGAACTCATTGTCATAGATCTATGGAGAGGACGTAGCCCCTCCCTCTGGGAATGTGGAAGGAGGTGACGAAAGGTGGAGAAGAGAAGAGTTGAGGGGCAGAGGTAGGCAGGGGAGAGACTGAGAGAAACAGAGAGTCTGTGAGCAAATGGAGAGAAACAGGGCAAGGGGAGAGGGCAGCCAGAGCAGAGGCGCTGACTCCATGGGTGCTCCAGGGCTGGAGTCTTGAACAATTCATGAAAATGTCCACCTTCACTCTCATAAAATCCACATATTCACTATATTACTATGAGCTGGATGAAACCTGAGCTGAGTTAAAACTTCATTGAGATGAATAAGTGAATGCACCCTTTAATTAACATAACTGTAAGGATAAGCCCCCACCTCACACAGAAAGGGGTATGTGAACCTGCCCAGGAGCTTTTGCTGAGGATTGTTTTGAGTAGGAGTCAATATCGTCAATCTATCCAGCTACACACTCAGCCCAGCAGAAGAGTCTGTCCTATCTCGGGGACTCTCTTTCTGCCTCGCCACCCACACAAACATGATACAGTTCTGCGGTGATCTGGAAGCCTACTTTTGCCATATTCGACTCAAAGAATACTTTCAAGATAACACTGAACAGCACACTAATACACAAATACCCTCCCACCAACAGCACAAGAAGAAGAACTCCACATGGACTCCTCCTGAGGGTCGAAATGACAGTCTGGACCTATACATAGAATGCTTCCGCCGACGTGCACAGGCAGAAATTGTGGAAAAACAACATTGCTTGCCTCATAACCTAAGTCGTGCAGAACACAATGCCATCCATAGCCTCGGATACAACCCTGACATTATAATCAAACAGGCTGATAAAGGAGGTGCTGTTGTCATCATGAACAGGTCTAACTACCAAAAGGAGGCCACCAGACAACTCTCCAATACCAAATTCTACAGGCCACTTTCCTCAGATCCCACTGAGGAATACACTAAGAAACTGCACCATCTCCTCAGGACACTCCCTACACTAACACAGGAACAAATCAACATACCCTTAGAGCCCTGACCGGGGTTATTCTATCTACTGCCCTAGATCCACAAACCCGGAAACCCTGGACGCCCCATCATCTCAGGCATTGGTACTCTCACTGAAGGACTGTCCGGATATTTGGACTCTCTACTCAGACCCTACGCCACCAGCACTCCCAGCTATCTCCATGACACCGATTTCCTGAGAAAACTACAATGCATTGGTGATCTTCCAGAAAACACCATCCTAGTCACCATGGATGTAGAGGCTCTCTTCACAAACATCCCACACACAGCTGGAATACCAGCTGTCAGGAACAGTATCCCTGATGATGCCACAGCACAACTGGTTGCTGAGCTCTGTAACTTTATCCTCACGCAAAATTATTTCAAATTTGGTGACAATATATTCCTTCAGACCAGTGGCACCGGTATGGGCACTCGCATGGCTCCACAATATGCCAACATTTTTATGGCTGACCTGGAACAACGCTTCCTCAGCTCTCATCCACTCACGCCCCTTCTCTACCTATGTTACATTGATGACCTCTTCATCATCTGGAACCATGGGAAGGAAACCATGGGAAGGAAATTCCACCACGATTTCAACAGCTTCCACCCCACCATCAACCTCAGCCTGGACCAATCTACACGGGAGGTCCATTTACTAGACTCCATGGTGCAAATAAGTGACGGTCACGTTAACACCACCCTATACCGAAAACCCACCGACCACTATGCCTACCTTCATGCCTCCAGCTTCCACCCTGGACACACCACACAATCCACTGTCTACAGCCAAGCACTGAGTACAACCGCATTTGCTCCAACCCCTCAGACAGAGACCAACACCTACAAGATCTTCACCAAGCATTCTCAAAACTATGATACCCACACGAGGAAATAAGGAAACAGACCAACAGAGCCAGACATGCACCCAGAAGCCTCCTGCTGCAAGACAAGCCCAAGAAAGAAACCAACAGAACTCCACTGGCCATCACATACAGTCCTCAGCTAAAATCTCTCCAACGCATCATCACTGATCTACAACCCATCCTGGACAACAATCCCTCGGGAGGCAGGCCGGTCCTCGCCCACAGACAACCTGAAGCATATTCTCCCCAGCAACGACACACCGCACCATAGTAACTCTAACTCAGGAACCAATCCATGCAACAAACCTCGATGCCAACTCTGCCCACATATCTACACCAGCGACACCATCACAGGACCTAACCAGATCAGCCACACCATCACCGGTTCATTCACCAATGTAATATACACCATCATGTGCCAGCAATGCCCCTCTGCTATGTACATCGGCCAAACTGGACAGTCCCTACGTAAAAGGATAAATGGACACAAATCAGATATTAGGAATGGCAATATACAAAAACCTGTAGGAGAACACTTCAATCTCGCTGGACACACAATAGCAGATTTAAAGGTAGTCATCCTGCAGCAAAAAAACTTCAGGACCAGACTTCAAAGAGAAACTGTAGAGCTTCAGTTCATTTGCAAATTTGACACCATCAGCTCAGGATTAAACAAAAACTGTGAATGGCTAGCTAACTACAAAAGCAGTTTCTCCTCCCTTGGTGTTCACACCTCAGCTGCTAGAAGAGGGCCTCATCCTCCCTGATTGAACTAACCTCATTATCCATAGCCTGATTCTTGTTTGCATATTTATACCTGCCTCTGGAAATTTCCAGTGCATGCATCCGACGAAGTGGGTATTCACCCACAAAAGCTCATGCTCCGATACGTCTGTTAGTCTATAAGGTGCCACAAGACTCTTTGCCGCTTCTTGAGTAGGAGTGTGTGTGATAGGGAAGGCAGAAAATAAAGGAGGAGAGAGTGACACAGACAGCCTGAAGGAGCTGCTGAAAACGTGGCTGTCCCTGGAAGAAATCTGGGGAGAGGTTTTTGGGTCAGGGCTGCAGACTGAAAAGAGTACTCTTGGTGTTGTGAGCAAAAGAATCTGTTACCTGTTCCTAGTTTCCTTCTGCATTCAGAGACTCAGGACTTTGAACATTCTTTGTAAACAAATTTTGATCACAGAAATACCTGACTACGACCAATTTCTGTTCCTAACTGGAACACCCACAAGGCCCGAAACTTTGACTAGTGTAGTAACCCTGGCACTAGCACCTGCTGCAGCTATGGTGCTGCAGCATAGAAGGCTGTCCTGGGAAGAGAGACAGCCCGTGAGAGGGCAGCTCGAGCTGGGGAGGAGGAGCCCAGAATCGCCCAAAGGTTGATGCTGGAAGGCAGTTAGAGAAGGAGATGAAAAAAGACTGCGCTGGGGTGAAAAGGGGACTGGCCAGAAAAAGCTGTGTTAGAGGAAGCTGGACCACAAAGGGCAGTGTTCAAGGAGCCCGGCCGCGAGTGGCATAGAGCATATGACCAATGAAGTTGACTGTTGTCACACTGACAGAGGAAATACAGTTTGGTTGCCTGGGGAACAGGTGTAGCCCTCTGGGAGAGGAGCTGTCATTTGCAGGTGGACCTGTTGGAAAGAGGTGCAGTCATTGCAGCATCAAAGCAAAGAAGCATCACAAACTGGAGAGAGGCAAAAACGGGATAGCAATTGATTCCCTCTTGGGGTAACACAGCATGTTGTTGAAAAAAACTTAATTGATTGTGCTGGTAATTGACAGTTTATTACTTTCCTAAGCAAGTATTTGATCTTACTTCATATTATTCATATTATCGTTCCTGTCAAATTTCTGGGTTTTTCCTTTAAAAGGTTTAAGGTGATCTCTATTGTATTGGTTTGCCTCTGCCTCTTCTCACAGTAGCCAAGGCTTGAGTCACTGCACTAACCAGCCACCTGGATTGAAAAGGGGCAACAATATTAAGAACCCCACATACAGTATACTAAAATCCCCTCATGATGCATGATAAAAATCTTTTTACCTTCTTCAGTGATGGAGAAGTTGCTGATCATATTCTTCATAAAAAGATATACCTGCATGATAATGAATGGCAATTATAATAATCACTGTAAACAGCTACTACTCATCCTAATGCAAGCTTATTCAATAGTAAAGACATAAGCACCTCCTGTGGAAAGTAAAAAGCCTTTTTGGCTAAATAAATTTTGCACCCCAGTTTAAAATAAAAAAGAAGCTATTGTATTATAATATGCAACATGGAAACTAATAGTAGCCAAAATAGCATTTCTTCTTAGCTATCCCAAATGTACAACAGATTGCGCTGATAGCAAAGCCAATTATTAAAGTAACCTGACACTTCCCATTATAAGACCTTGTTTTCCATTGCTTGTAAACAGGGCTTCATGTAAATTACAAATTTTGTTTAAAAAATTCACAACAATGTAAAAGGCAAAATATATAATTTCACAGAGTACACATGGAACTAATTTTATAACTAAATTTAATTAACTTTACAACTAGGGCTGTCGATTAATTGCAGTTAATTCACACGAATAACTCAAAAAAATTAATCGCAATTAATTGCAGTTTTAATTGCACTGTTAAATAACAGAATACCAATTGAAATTTATTAAATATTTTGGATGTTTTTCTACATTTTCAAATATATTTATTTCAATTACAACACAGAATACAAAGTGTATGCGGCTCACTTTATATTATTATTTTTTATTACAAATATTTGCACTGTAAAAATGATAAACAAAAGAAACTATTTTTCAATTCACCTCATGCAAGTACTGTAGTGCAATCTCTTTATCGTGAAAGTGCAACTTACAAATGTAGATTTTTTTTTTTTTGGTTACATAACTGCACCCAAAAACAAAACAATGCAAAACTTTAGTGCCTACAAGTCCACTCAGTCCTACTTCTCATTCAGCCAATCGCTAAGACAAACAAGCTTGTTTACATTTGAAGGAGATAATGCTGCCCTCTTCTTATTTACAATGTCACCAGAAAGTGAGAACAGGCATTTGCATGGCACTTTTGTAGCCGGCATTGCAAGGTATTTACGTGCCAGATATGCTAAACATTCGTATGCCCCTTCGTGCTTCGGCCACCATTCCAGAGGACATGCTTCCATGAAGATGACGTTTGTTAAAAAAAAAATGCGTTAATTAAATTTGTGACTTAACTCCTTGGGGGAGAATTGTATGTCTTTTTACCTGTATTCTGCCATATATTTCATGTTATAGTAGTCTTGGATGGTGACTCAGCACATGTTCATTTTAAGAACACTTTCACTGCAGATTTGATAAAACACAAAGAAGGTACCGATGTACGATTTCTAAAGATAGCCACAGCCCTCGACCCAAGGTTTAAGAATCTGAAATACCTTCCAAAATCTGAGAATGACAAGGTGTGGAGCATGCTTTCAGAAGTCTTAAAAGAGCAACACTCTAATGCGGAAACTATAGAACCTGAACCACCAAAAAAGAAAATCAACCTTCTCCTGGTGGCATCTGACTCAGATGATGAAAACGAACATGTGTTGATCCACACTGTTTTGGACTGTTATCGAGCAGAACCCATCATCAGCATGGACGCATGTTCTCTGCAATGGTGGCTGAAGCATGAAGGGACATATGAATCTTGAGCGCATCTGGAATGTAAATATCTTGCAACGCTGGCTACAAAAGAGCCATAAGAAGACCTGTTCTCACTTTCAGGTGACATTGTGAACAAGAAGCAGGCAGCATTATCTCCTGCAAATGTAAACAAACTTGTTTGTCTGAGCAATTGGCTGAACAAGAAATAGGACTGAATGGACTTGTAGGCTATGAAGTTTTACATTGTTTTATTTTTGAATGCAGTTATATTTTTGTACCTAATTCTACATTTGTAGGTTCAACTTTCACGATAAAGAGATTGCACTACTGTACTCATATTAAGCGAATTGAAAAATACTGTATCTTGTTTTTTACAGTGCAAATATTTGTAATAAAAAATAAATACAAAGTGAGCACTGTACACTTTGCATTCTGTGTTATAATTTAAATCAATATATTTGAAAATGTAGAAAACATCCAAAAATATTTAAAATAAATGGTATTCTATTATTGTTTAACATTGTGATTAATCGCGCAATTAATTTTTTTAATTGCTTGACAGCCCTATTTACAACTAAAATCAACAGTAAACACAAATATATACAGTCCACTAAATGTTCAGTTATTTCTGTTTATATTTTTGAATTAAAGTTAAGCATCGTTTGCCAGTTCACTCATTCCTCTTTCATGAATTGCCTCTGTACAGTCTGAACCTACTCATATGCTGAAACGCTTTGCTTCGCATGCAGATTTGGGGACAACAGACAAATATCGGTTGGCCAGTTTTACAATGTTGGGAAAGTGTGGTTCTGCAGACCTCCAAAAGGCAGTCATCAAAAGGTCACTGGTCCTTTCCTTTGTATAAACCCAGTATCCTTCTAATTCAATTTTGAAGCTCTTGTTGAAACCAGGTATGGAATCCAGTGGGAGGGCATCAAACTTTAACATACAAACTTGCATGTAATCAAACACTGTTACTGCTTTAAGGAACTGGTGTGCTATCTGAGTAAAATAGGGTTTTCTTTCACCATGATCAGGGAGACACTAGTTTGTAAGCTTATCTGCAATTTCAGTAGAAATTTTTACACTGGTGTTGAATCCTTCTTGCTCAACTTTAAGTGCTCAATAGGTGCTGATTAAGTCAACAACTTTATTGTACACTTGATGAACACAAATCTCATGGCTTTCTAACCATCTGATTAAATCAACAAGCTATTTGCCAGACCCTGCAATTAAGTCAAGCTGTTTCTGTAACATTTCTGAATGTCCAGCAGACATTTTAGCTCCTTTAATACTGGTTGTAATTTTAATTTCCCCTTCCAAAAAATTTGAGTAAAAAGTAATGTCTTGTGTATGGTATGCAATAGTAGTGTAACAGCTTCCCCATCCCATCTTACTGTAGAGGTAAAAATCCTCAGGCCATCTTGGATCCTCTAAAGGACAACTAGTCGTCCATTTTTGTGAGCCCTTCTTGTCCCCTCCTCATCCCAGTTTGGTGCCTTTTTCTATTTAGGCGGGAAAAGACAGTGGCTGTCAATCATCTAATCTGCCTAGTGACCGAGTGTCTATATAAGGCAGTGTTCAGATCAGATCGCTGCTGCCCATCTGAGTGGTAGAGTCTGGTTGAGACGGAACAGGTAATTAAGGGTAGGCCATTCACCCCACAAGGGTTACTTTGAGTAGGGGATATTTCTGTACATAGTCCCCCTATTGTTACAGCCTGCCTTATTTTTATTATCTGCCTGGTTGTTATCTGTTTTACCTTGTTTATTCTGGCAGTCCTTGCCACCCCTTCTATAAATTCTGTTGTACCTTTATTTTGTTCGAGTTTTATGTGGAAATATAAGCCCCCGTGACAGATATGGGTAGAAGGCGAACCTGAGACCGAGATATCTGGGCCACTTCTAATTTTAGCTCCTGTTTCAGTCAACATTACCTAGTTCCGGGGACAATTTTTAGGACGATTCAAACCCACAGCTTGTGCTTTACAGATACTCTTTAAAATGCAATGTTCTGCTTAAGCAATGTTTACAAACCTTTTTGACTGTGGCGGTTAGCTTGTCTATGTCTCAGACATTGGTCCTCCAGCTGTCACCAGCAAGGACTACTATGTGAGCAGGTAAAATGAACTGAGTTAAGCAGTAATCCCTCAAGCATTTGACTGTAAGCTTTGAATAGACCTGTCAAGGCACTCACTGCATAACTTCATTCATCCTGGACTGAACGTCTGCATTCTGGTGGTCCTTAGTAGGCCAATGCTCTATACAAAACCAAAAGGGCTGTAAGGTGAAGTACGAATGGGTCACCCAGGCATTGTCTGGAGCTGTTAGAGTGCTGCGTAGTTGGTGACAAGAAAATAGGGAGTCCCAAACAAATAAGAGTGCAGGGCTTTCCCTGCCCAGTGCATTGCTAGACACGTCTTATTGAGGACCAAATACTGGGTTTCACAGTCCTGGAGTGTCCTACTCCTATATACAGAATAGGATGTTCCAGACTGTAGAGCATCTAGGACAACACTGCTCACAGTGCCCACTGTGAGGCATCCATGTGTAAAATAAATTCTTGCGAAAAATCAGGGCTACGCAGTACTGGTTTGTTAGAGAACTTTTTTAGTTTCTAGGAATGCCCGATCACATTCAGGAGACCAGGTGACCTGGCAAAGAGCTGCTTTTTTAATGAGATCAGTAAGGGGAGTCAATAGAGAGCCAAACTTGGATACAAATTTTCTATAAAACCCTGGTCCACACCAGACCAAGAAATGCCCAAACTTGCTTTTTTGATTTCAGAACAGAAGTGTTGGCTATGGCTTCCACTTTACCAATCAAGAGTTCCACTTTACTGTTCCCCACCAGGTACCCTAAGTATGTGGTCTGCCACTTCCCTAATGTGCATTTCTTTCGGTTTGTGGTTAAATCGGCGTCCCACAGGGCCTGCAGAACTGTGGCTAAATCTGGACTGTAGACTACCACATCATCCAAGTAGGCTGTTGCTCAGGGTTGATGGTGCCACATCACCTGGTCCAAGAGTCTTTGAAAGGTGGCCAGGCTGATGTGTAAACCAAAGGGCATATTAACAAATTGGAAAAGACCTACAGAGGTTGAGAAGGCTGTCTCAGCACGGGAATTGGGAGAGAGCAGGATCTGCCTATTGCCATTAGTTAAGTCTAGTGTAGAGATGTATCAGGTCTGGCTGAGCCAATTAAACAGGACATTAATTCGGGGCACTGCCTGGGCAACAAAGTCAAAGTTCACATTGATTTGGTGGAAGTCTATGCAGAATCAAACAGTCCCATCCAGTGTAGGGACAAGGAGTACCAGACTACACCAGGGACTTCTCAGTTCCTCAATCACGGCTAGTTTAACATCTTATGGACCTCTTATACTAACTAGGACTTCAACCCCTCTGGGATGGGATACTGACTTTTGACTGGGTTGGGTCCCAGGTTTTATATGGATTGGTGGGCC